AAGAAGAAGAAGAAGAAGAAGAAGAAGAAGAAGAAGAACAACAACAACAACAACAACAAGAAGAAGAATGGTGTGCAAGCACAATCACAATCACAATCACAATCACGCACACACACACACACACACACACACACACACACACACACACACACACACACACAACACACAATCACACACGCACGCACACACCTCGGAACGTGGGCGAGGTATGCCTTGTATTCCTCCGTGGCCTTGCCAAGCTTGATTTGGTGTCGCCGCTTGCGCAATCGCTGTCGGAACTGTGCATCATCCATCCTGTCCTTTCCCTCCTCCATGATGTCGTGTGGTGTGGATGGCAGTGCGTCAGCAGCGTCTGCCTGCGCTTGTGAGTGCTGTGATGTGCGTGGCGCGTTGCTGTGGAGAATGAACACCCTCCACAGCGTTCGCCTGCTCGTAATCCTGTCTCTCCAGCCAGCTGTCCGTTTTTCTTGCTGGATTTCTGCTGACTCAGCAGGGGCAGCAACCGCGCAAAACCCAAAACCCCGCCAAACAGCGGACTTGTTTGGCGCCACTGACACGCCGCATCTTCTCTCTCTTCCCGCGCCACACACACCGCACCGCCACACCTTCTTCCGCTGGCACCCTTTTGACCGTTGATCCATGCTTTGCGGCAAGAGAACAAGCAAGCAAGCAAGCAAGCTGACACCGGTCAAAGACAGAGAGTGCGCGCGCGAGAACTTCCATTCCTCCTCATCATTTCACCATCAAGCATCTGGCGGGGAGTGTTGTTTGTTCCTGATTGTGCGAGCCGTTTGCCATTCCGATCAGCCGCCCTTCCCTTCCACCAACAACAACAACCTCTCGACCAACGCCTCCTTCTTTGTTGCAGCATCGATAACCCCACCACCTTCCTCCCTTCCCATCACAAACCTTCTGTGAGACTTGTACTACTACGACTTCTACCACTACCCGACCCCTCGCCGCGTGCTTGCACTCCTTTGTCGAGCGACCGGCACCAAGCACATTATGGAGACAGCATCTCCACACGCTCGTCAGAGCAACAACAGCATCAACAGCAGCGTCGCGCAAGCCACACTGATGACGGCATCCCCTTCTCCAGCGGCAGACCCGTCTCTCGCTGTTCGCATTGGGGCCACGCCGTACACCTCCCTCCACTTTTCGTCTCCCCAACTGCTCCCATACCAGCTGAACCACCTTCTCAGCGACGCCACTCCGACCCTTGTTCCACAGCAGCAGCCACATCAGCAAGCTCACAACCCAGCAGCAGGAGGCAGCACCTCCACGACGCCGTCCGCTCAACAGCAACACGTCAATGCCTTTCAGCCAGAGGGGCTGCTGCTCTTGAGTCAGCTCTGCAGCCCCCATCGCAAGGGAAAATTCTCTTCTCGACAAACAGCAGCGACATCATCATCATCAGCAAAGCCGGTGTGTGTGTATGTGTGAGCAGAGGTTGTCGATACATGTGTGTGTGTGTGTTTACGTGTGCTTTTGCTTGTAGTGTGTGACGATTTTCACATGTATATCTGTGACCTGCCTCCACCAGATATGGGCTGCATGCGGTTTGACAGCAACATTGACATGAGCACACGCACACATATGCACGCACACATACACGCACTCATACATGCACACTCACATACACACGCGCACACATATGCACACATGCACACGTACAAACACATCAACAGGTCAAACGGCGGCTGATTGACGAGATGGACGATGAGGAACCCGAGGCTTCAGCGCCTTCTCGCTCAAGCAATCCCTCCAAGAAAAGGTCCTCAAAGAGGCGCAGTGGGGAGCAACACCGACAGCCGCCCAACAAGACTGCCAATGTTTCTGCCCGCAGCAGTGACGCACCGAGGAAGAAGCCCAAGATGGCTCGGCGCGCCAGCTCGTCCGGTTCCGCAAAAGCCAACTCAGACAAGGAGGGCGGTCGACACGACAAGTCCCTTGGACTGGCCACCCTGCGGTACTGTGCTTGTTGTGTGCTGTGTGCAGCTGTGTCCATGGGAGTTTATGTCATCAGTTGTTCTCTGTGTCCTGTCTTGCATGCTCCATGGTGTCGTTGGTCGGCAGCACCTCACACAATGTCATCAACTTGTCCGTGCCACCGCCGTCATGTATGTAGGGTGCTGGGGGTGTTGCTTCGACTCAACCCTCCGTTTGTGCTGCCTCTCAGCATTCTCTCCGAGCTACTTCGTACGTCCCTGTGTTGTCTCTCTTCGTCTGCATGTTTGTTGTGGTCGTGGGACTGTGTGGCACATGGCAGTGGATGAGTGTTACTGTCTGTGTCGAAGCAAGTCTTCCACCACGACCCACACCAATACCTTGGCCATCACGACCCACACCAACACCACCAACACCACGCACACCACCACCACCACCACCACGCACACCACCATGGCCACCGCCACTTGCCCTACCTCCCATACACACCTAAGCTACAAAGTGCACGCATTCGTGTTTGTTCACCCCTGCTTCTGCACCCGCCCACTACCAACACCCACCAACGCAACGCAGAGGTGAAGCGCCGCCGGCTTTATGAGATTATCAACTTGTTGGAGGCACTGAACTTTGCACGCCGCGGTGGCCGCAACAAGCTTGTTTGGCTTGGTATTCAGAACTTCCATGCCACGCTGGCAACCATTGGCAAGGACCCAGCTGCCGCAATCAGCGACCCCTCCTTCCTGGTGTGTGAGTGATGCTCGGTGGCCTGCGCCGCACGCGTTGCTTCTGCTGATCCGACCACTACTGCTGCTGTTATCCTCCTGTGCACTCACGTCTTCTTGTAATCATCCTGCTTTCTTTGTTTCTTTCATATCACAGAGCCAAACGAACCGGTCAAACGTCCTGGCCAGGCTCACCATTCTGTTTGTGGCCTCCCTCATCAAGGACACGGTTAGCTTGTGTGAAACTGCTCGCCTCGCCAGAGCCCTGTGTTTGCATGTATATGTGCGTGTGTGTGTGTTTGAGCTGCTCGAGCGTGTGCCTGTGCCTGCCCTTGTGCTTGTGCTAGTTTCATGCGCCTCGAGGTGGTGCTTATGTTGCGTTGGAATCTGGTGTCTGCAGCGTGTCGATCGACTGGAGGATGTTGCAGACCTGCTCGGGGAAGAGGGGGATCCAGGCGCGTCCAGATATCAGAGTAAGTCCTTCACACAAACGACTTGCCACCTGCCCCTCAAACCGCCAAAGCACACACACACACACACATACACACAACAGCCAAGCTCAAAGCCTATTCTTGACACGGTTTGTTTTCATGCGTTTGCCTGACGATTGCTTTACTTCTTTCGACAGCCCGGCTGAAGCGTCTGTACGACATTGCAAACTTTCTCTGCACCATTGGGCTGGTGAACAAGGTATGACGGCAGTGGGGCGTGTTCTTTCTTCCTCTGTCGATGTGACATCACACTGCGTGCGTATTCATTCGTGCACGCACGGACACGTGCTCATGCACAATACACGCGCAACACACGCACATCACGCAGACACGCGCAATGCACACACACACACACACACACACACACACACACACACACACACACTCATGCCCTCACGCATCGACTCACCCAGACGTCCACGCAGACACGCGCAATACACACACACACACACACACTCTCTCTCTCATGCGCTCATACTCACACACCGACTCACCCCGCCACCCCGCTCTATACACCCTGCTCCCATGTACGCGTTGATAGGTGTTTGACCGCCCCCGCACTGCGAGCGGACACCGGAAGCCGTCCTTTGTGTGGACGGGCCGCTTGCGCAACATCCCTGGCCTTGACACGTACAACGCGCGCTCTGAACCAAGCAGCAACAGCAACGGCACAGAGACCGGCACGTGCGGTGCCAAGCTGTCCATGCCGTTTGTGGATGTTGAGAACCTTGACTGCGACCCACTGCCACGACCGCCAGCAGCGGAGATGAAGGCGTGGATGCAAGATGAGGGCGAAGAGGCGGCGCTGCTCGTTGCCAGCTGTCGTTCGGCGGAGGAGGCAAAGGGGGCACTGCACGCCTCCACACAGCAGCTGTACCAACGCCTGTTTGTGTCTGTCATGGCACACGCGCTGCAGTCGCCATGCAAGCCCGAAGCCGTCAAAGCCGAGCCGGTGGCACACGATGAGCAGCCTGCATCGTCTCCACCACCTGTTACACAACAACAGCAGCAGCAGCAGCAGCGAGACGATGAGGAGGCGGCGCAGGAGGAAGAGGAGCAGGAGCAGCAGAAACGACACCAATCCCCACCCTCGCCTGCCGTCGAAGTGCCTCATCGCCATCACTTCAACCAGCAGCAGCAGCAGCAGCAGTCAAGCTCTTGCGGCTCCAGTGAACTTAGCGAAAGGGAAGATGATGGCGCGTGTGCCAGTGGTGATGACGGCATGCATGATGATGATGACGATGACGCGGCTTCGGTGTGCATGAGCGAACCTGACATTTCACAACGCTCATCGGCGTCCACGGCATCAAGTTTGACGGCAACAGCAGCAACGGCAGCAACAGCACCCGCCGCGTGCATGGGCCCACAGCACACCAGCCACATGGCCAGCCCGGCCGGTAAGGTGTCGGCGCTGGTGGCGACGACAAAGGGTGGCTTTGATGCACGTGGCAGTGCACTGCGTTCGGAGGACTTTGACGGCGACGACATGCTGCAGCCCGCATCCAGCCCCGCCTTTCCCGATGATGACCGCGATGGTGGTGATGACGCGGCTACTTCCCATGCTGCCGTCACAACAGGGTCCTCTCAGACACTTGCCACACCTGCGACACCCGCTGCTCTCACGGCGCAATACAGCGACCACCAGCTTTTGTCATCGCCCGCGTCAACGTGCGCCACGACAGCTCCAGTCCCATTTTCACGTAAGTGCGAGGTGCTGGTGTGCTTGCGGTGCGAATGCAAGCGTGCGCGTGTATGTATGTATGTATGTATGTATGTATGTGTGTATGTATGTATGTATGTATGTATGTGTGTATGTATGTATGTATGTATGTATGTATGTATGTATGTATGTATGTATGTATGTATGTATGTATGTATGTATGTATGTTTGTTTGTTTGCATGCGTGTATGTATGTATGTATGTATGTATGTATGTATGTATGTATGTATGTATGTATGTATGTTTGTTTGTTTGTATGCGTGTATGTATGTATGTATGTATGTATGTATGTATGTATGTATGTATGTTTGTTTGTTTGTATGCGTGTATGTGCGTGCGTGTGTGTGTGTGTGTTGCGAGCGTTTTTGTTTTTGCGTCAGCCACAACACAGTTTCGCCCTCCTCATTCATTCACACAATCATGACCATCCATTGCAGCGATTCCTGTTCAAGTGCGGGAAATGATCGGCGCGGACGGAAGGCCGATGCTTCAGGTGCATGTGCTTGCAGATCCAAACGGCCTCCTTCCTGAAGACAGCCGCGTGTTCACGTTTGAGGTTCCCGCGCAATAGTTGCGGCGCATACACATAGCGTAGATACTCGATTCCCTCCCCCCTGTTCCCCCTCTCCCTTTGTTTTTTCCTTGCTTTTGTTGTGTTGGTTAGCTTGAACCTGTGCTTGTTACGAATGTGTGTGCGATCGCAAGAACGCGTTGCTGTTGCCGTTGCCGTTGCTGTTGTATGCGTATGTGGGGTTTATTTACACATCATTACATGCATCCACATCTAATAAAGACTGCTCCTCTGCCATGTCATTACCTGCAACTGTACTGTTATCGCGGTGGCAATAAACACGCGTGAGTGTGGGTGGGTGAACAAAGAGTGTCACGATGATGTGACACGAGGCAAGACAAGACAGGGAGGTGTTGAGGAGGAGCACAACACCACAACCACCACACAATCGCAGAAACGCATTTCTTGCTGTCGCTTCCAAAATTCCCGCCGCCGACCGCTGCTCGCTTTTCTTCGCACCAACAACGACAACCACCGCCTCCAGCCAGGATCATGTCGTCGTCGTCTGACTCCGGGTCCGACTTGGACGTTGCGGATGCGGAGATGATGCTGATGGGAACATCGAGAACCAAGAAGAAGCAGCCAGCCTCGCAACGGCGCAAGGCACCTGCGGTATGATGATGCGTGGACTGCCTTTTCGTGCGCGGTGGCCAGTGTGTTGGGGTTGTCTTTTGCTGGTTGATTGGATGTGTCCAGTTTGGTGGTTCGGTGTGTGTGTGTGTGTACGAATATGTGTGTGTACGAATGTGCGTGCGTGTGTGCATGTGTGTACATGTGTGTGTGTGTGTGTACATGTGTGTGTGTGTGTACATGTGTGTGTGTGCATGTGTGTGTGCATGTGTGTGTGTGTGTGTTGCTGCATACCTGCGTGCTTGCATGTGTGCATGTGCGTGGATCTGTGGATACCGGTTGCCACCACGGACATATGACGCGAAACAGTGTGCTCACGCATGTTTCTCTGCTGCCCCCATCATGGCATTGTTGTCGACCTCGTTAGAAACGCGCCAAAGTCATCGTCGGTAAGGCACATGTACCGACAGCTGTGTGGTGTGTGCATGCGCGTCGTTAGGGCCCTTCGTGCTTGAAGAGCGCTTGCGCTCACTTCCCAAGTCTGCCATTGATCATCTCGCATACTCCCTCTTCCGTCCCTTTCACCCCCCGATCATGCTAACACACACACACACACAAATACACACACAAATACACACACACAAATACACACACACACACACACACACACACACACACACACAAATACACACAAATACACGCGCTTGTGCACCGTACGTTTAGAAAGCGACGAGGAAGATGAAGATTCCGACGATGATGTGTTCACACACAAGTACAACGAAGTGGGTTCAAAGTGCACATTAATGATTCCTCGTGCTCGTGCTTGGTGCTCGTGCTTGGTGCACTCGCAACAACACACCATGGTCTATGCCACATTTGATCTCACTTCTCACCGCTTCGTTCTTGCCGCGCCAATCCCCGGTCTTGTAGGACTTGTATGTCGATGAGGAGGACAGAAAGTACCTGGAAGGCCTGACCGAGCTCGAGCGCGAACTGGTACACGGGCCCATGTGTGCTTGCCTGCTTGTGTTCATAGAGACAGGCACAGAGCATTTGATCGGGTGTGCAGTTGTGACTGCGTTCATGCATGAACGCCTGTGTGTGAGTGCACGGGTGTGTGATTGTTTGGGGAACTTCCGTGCCTGTTTCACGTGCCACGAACGTGCCGCACACCTTCGCGATGTCACTAACCATTGACGTGCTTTGTTTGCAGGAACTCAACCGTCGTAATGAAGAGCGCGAAAAGGCGAAGCAACGTTGGGAGATGGAGCGGGAAATCAAGGTTTGTGCATAGTGTGTGTGTATGTTGTGTGTGTGTGTATGTCGTGTGTGCAGTGTGTAGAGTGTATGCAAGTTTGTAGAGTTATGTGTGTGTGTGTGCAGTGTGTAGAGTGTATGCAAGTTTACAGAGTTATGTGTGTGTGTGCAGTGTGTAGAGTGTATGCAAGTTTGCAGAGTTATGTGTGTGTCTGTGAGTTTGTTGTGTGCGTGCGTTTGATGATGTACAGGTGCGAGTGAAAGCGGGCGCAGCGGGAATGTGTTCCACGCAGCGCTGTCGCTCATTTCGACGGTATCCTCACGTGTATGTGCACAGCGCAAGGCGAAGCGACAGCAGGCGGCGGCTCGGCGCAAATCGCCCCGGCGAACACGTGCGTGGACATATGCATGTTGAGCGCAAGCAATTGTGCGCTCCGTCTGTCGGCCTGCAACTGTGCCGTCGTGTCTTTGATCCTGTGCGTCCATTGCACACCCGGCCGCTCTCTTTGCTTGTGTTCCCATTGCTGTCTCCTGTGCCTACTATGTCACGGTTGCCGAATGCGAATATCGTGTCTGACCAAGCCCCCATGACGGCGTCTGTCGTTCTGCTGTGGTGATGAGCGCAGGCGCCCAGCCCACAGTGGCCAGCGAGGACGAAGAGGAAGACCTGGACGAGACGCAGGGTGCAGGCTACGTCGACGAAGAGGTGGGGCAGCAATTTCGTGCGTGTGCATGTTTGTAAGTTTGTATATTTGTAAGTTTGTAAGTTTGTAAGTTTGTAAGTTTGTAAGTTTGTGTGTGTGTATGTGTGTGTGTGTGTGTGTGTGTGTGTGTGTGTGTGTGTGTGTGTGTGTGTGTGTGTGTGTGTGTGTGTGTGTGTGTGTGTGTGTGTGTGTGTGTGTGACACAGGGGAGGGGTGTGCGTTGAGAGGGGGTAGGCTGCTTGGTTGACAACATTGCACATGAGGAACAATGTATTGCGTGCACTCTGGATGCGACGCTGACATTGTTGTCACCCAACGCAACACTATACGTCGTGTGCTTCCTCCCCTCCCACCCCCATTCGCCGCGTGTGATTGCCGTGTGGTGATGGCAGGAGGCTGAGTCTGACTACGAGGCTGAAATTGGCGGGAACCAGATGGTGACGGCGCTGGAGGAAGAGGAAGAGATTGAACCGCAGAAAGACGAGGTGCGCACTGCGTTGTGGCGCTGTGTGTTGTGCTGTGGGCTGTGTATGGTTTGCTGTTTGTTGTTCTTGAGTGTGTTTTGATTATGTGCTTGGTTATTAGTCGATTCGGTGGATGCGTGTTTTTACTTGACTGCGTCTTGTGCTTCGCTGTGTTGATCCTATGGTTCGATGTACGTCGCGTGCGTGATTTTGGGCCGTGTCCTGGCTGCCTCCCTCCTCCACTGTGCTCACTTCGCCCCTCCCCATGTCCCTCGGCACACGGCCACCACCACCACCACCACCACCAGACCCCGGCCACGCTGGAGCAGCTCGAGTCCATCCGCGCAACCCGCACGAAGCTTCTTGAATGGTGCGTGCTGGTGCGCAACATGTTGCGCGGGGAGAAATGCGCTGTTGGGCTTTACAATTGTGTTTTGGTTTCCACAGGACTCATCATGGTCCGTGACATGCCGTGCGTTGAATATGTCCTCTGACTTACTCACAGGCACACATCTACGCACACATACACATGTACAAACACACACACACACACACACACACACACACACACACGCACACATTTTCGCACGCCCATCCAACCACATGCAGGTGCCACGAAGCGCACTTTCCCGAGACGGCTGCGGGTTCGTCGTTGCTGTGCTCTGTGTTGTTGACCAGTGCAATCTGTTCTCGCCACGACACACACACACACACACACACACACACACACACGCACACAGACAAACACACCCACACGCACAAATACTCACACTTTCGCTGTTATGTTCGCCTGCATCGTTTTGCGTGCATCGTTGTGCGTGCCTGCAGGCATGATGGTTCGCATCAACCTTGGGGAATCACAGCCAGGCGTGTCCACGTATCGTCTGGGGCAAATTGTTCGCGTGGAAGAAAAGCGGCTGGTGTGTGCGCACGCGTGTGTCAATGATCTGTGCCTCCAGCATCACCTCACCTTGCCCGATCATCAACCCCCTCCACCCACTGTCATACCTACACAAAGCCAGCTCCCTGCGTCTCGCACCTTTGGCTGAGTGTTTCCGCCCTCGCTCACCACCTGTTGCACCACCTGTTGCACCACCTGTTGCACCACCTGTTGCACCACCATCACGTGGAACAGTATGAGCTGCGTGACGGCCGCGAGCGCACCAAGACGCGTTTCTACGTGCTCGTGCAGCACGGCCGCTCCCGCCGCCCGTTTCGCATGTCGTTTGTCTCAAACGGACCAATCCTCCAGAAAGAGGTGTGCGTGCTGGGTTGTGTGTGTGTGTGTGTGTGTGCGCGTGTGTGTGTGTGTCTAACCTCGCTTTTGGTCACGTTTCCATACGTGCATTGGGCGCCGCTGACCCTCCCCACGCACACCACACATGTGCCTCTTCTCCCGGGGCAGTTTATGAAGTGGCAGGCGGCGATTGAGAAGGACAACATGGCGTTTCCGACTGCTGATGACGTCTCCCGTAAACGTGCTGAGCTTGGTGCGTTGCGTGTGCAATGGGACCGTGCAATTGTATTTACGGATATGCGTGTGCGTGTGCGTGCATGCGTTTGCGTGCTCTGCCTTCATATTCATGGCACTGCTGCGCCTGTTTACGCTTCAGAGGCGTTGAAGACGCGCGTGCGCACTGGCGAAGACATTCTGTACACCATTGAGTCGAAGCGCAAGTGCGAGTGCGCCACCACCAACCTCGGTTCGTTGACAGTTGCGACTGTGCCCTTTGCCGTGTGCTTGACCTGCCCGTCATCACAACCAACGGTCCTTCTAACCTGCAAATCACACACGTGCACATACATACACACTCGCTCTCGCTCACTCACTCCCACACTTCCACGCACTCTCACTCCCACACACTCTCACTCCCACACACTCACCCACCCACCCACTCTCACACTCACTCCCCCAAACACATCCACCCACGAGCAGCGCGTGAGATTGACGGGCTGAGGCTTGAGATGCACCGGGTGCAGGCGTCCAAGGAGGAGAAGGAGCAGAAGTTGTCTGAGCGGCGGGCGGCGCTGCGGCAGGAGGAAAACTATGACGACGATGACGTGGCGGAGGACGAGGACGAGCAGGCAACGGCGCTCAGGGACGAGATTCAGGCACTCACGCGCCGCGAGACAGACATTGTCGACACCATCGACCGTCTCGAGAGGAAGAAGCAGTCCGAGGCAGAGGTGCGTGTGTGTATGTGTGTGTTTTGGGGGGGGGGATTCTGTGTGTGCATGTGCTTCTGCGTGTGGACTTATTGCTGATGCGTTACAAGTGGCATCTCTTTCCCGCTCAGACACACACGTGCACACGGATACCCACGCATACACACACATACACGCATTCACACATCACCCATACATGCACGCACTCCCCATTCTGCAGCGGCGCCGGGCCAACACGTTTGACACGAACAAGCTCAACGAACGCAACATTCGGGCAGAGAAGCTGCAGCGCAAATTGCTGAGCGAGCGCACCCGCACGCGCGATGCCGATGGTGAGTCCACGGCTTTGTTGTGCCTCACACACACTCACACACACACATGCACTATCTTGAGCTTGCGTCATTGGCGTCCGCAGGCCCCCTGCCCTGTTTCTGCCCTTGATAGTGTTGTCGTGCACCACGTCACAATCCCCCGTGCTGTGCTGTTGTCCTGTATTGGTGCTGGTCAGATGTGTTTCAGCGTCGCCGCGCGTTCTCGAAGAAGGGCCGCAACCTCAATGCCACCAGCAACGCCAAGGGCAAGGATAGTCAGGACAAGGACAAGATAGAGGGTGGTGCCGACAGCAGCAGCGCAGCGTCGCAAGCGGCCGCAGAGGGCATGACGGGCACGGGAACCGATAGCGACGCCAACGCGGGTGGTCAGGGTGCACAGGACGGGAAGCAAGAGGGTGCCTCTGCAACAACAGCGACAGCAACAGCGGCACCAGCCGTCGCGGACGATGCGACCAAGAAGTCAGCCAACGTCACGGACTTGCACAACTTCCAGCTGGAAGGGGTTGAGCTGCCAGATATTGATGTGAGTGCAGACCTCATGGCTGTTCCGTCGCTGGTGACGCCGTCCATGCCTGCGCCCGTGTCGGCGTCTTTGGCATCATCATCATCGTCGTCGTCGACAGCAGCGTCCAAGGGTAAGAAGTCCGGAAGGAGAGGCCTCAACCTCAAGGCATACAAGAAGAAGCATGGCCTTGTTTGATTGTGTGCATGTGTGTATGCGCGCGGGTGTGTGTATGCGCGCGGGTGTGTGTGCGTGTGTGTGGGAAGTGATGGAAGTAAACGTCATTCAGGCATTGCGTGCGCGAGTGTGTAAGTGGGTCTGTGTGGGGGTGATGATGTGACACGTGACGGTGTGGGAGAAGAACTGAAGGGTGAACAACACACACACACACACACACACACACACACGCACACACCAAACACACACACACACACACACTCACACACACACTCACACACTCACACGCACACACAAGCACGTAGACAGACACACATACGTAGACAGACAGACAGACAGACAGACAGACAGACACACACACACACACACACACACACACACACACACACACACCATCTCACACACACACACACACACACACGCGACATGCTGAATTCAGTTTTCGTGTCCGCGAACACACAGTTCGTTGGTTCGCAAACACACCACAACAACACACATTCCCACCAGACAACCCCCACGCACAACCCCCACGACAACAACACCAACCCCCTTCCACACGCTGCCTCCTCATGAGAACAAGACACAAAAGGATATGAGCGAGCATAATGGCGTGTACTTGAACAGCACCAGCCCGCTGACGCCGAGCCAAGCCGAGCACGTGAGCCTGGTTGCGCTGGTGTGCAGCGCCCTGAGTTGCGCATTGTGCGGGGTCGCCCTCATTGTGTTGTCCTGCACGTGCGCACGAAGCGTGGACGATGACCCTGCCGGCGGCAGTGGTGGTGGCGTTGAAGGCCACGCTGAGCGGCGACGCAAACACAATGCTTCACGGCTACAACACAGCCACCGCTCGTCTATGGCAGCGAGCATCCACCACGATCACGCATACGATCACCGCGAACACAGACATCGCAGGCCCCGGCCGGGCAGCTCCTTGTCTTTCGGATCCACAACAGATCTTGCCCCGGGCCTCAGCAGCCTGCGTGGTCTGGCCATCCCCTCGCATCCAACCTCAGAGGAGCTGCGTGTCTTGGCGCAGGATGCGGCGGATGGGGGACTTGCGGAGGAGGCGGGTGACCTCGGTGACGACAGCAGCCAAACCGCACCCCTTCTTGGATCCAGCAGCGGGCACGGCCAGCCACCGCAGCCGTGGGTGCTCAGGAACGGCCACACCGCTGACCCTGCGTGCGACTCGCCAAGGAAGCGCGGGCGCTGGCGAATGCAGTGGCGGAGAGCACCGCCCGTGCTCAAGTGGAAGGTGGCAACAGACTTGCTCCTTGTGGCCAACACCTTGTGGATCAGCGCATACGTGCTCATCGTTGGACCACAGCACGTCAGCGGATACAACTCGTCCGTGTGCCACGCGTACGCGGTTGTGCACGAGGTGGCATCACACGCGTCCTCGCTTTGGTTTCTTCTCCTCAGCGTGGACCTGTGGCTCGCCGCACGCGACCCCTTTGCCAACAGCACGGGCAGCATGTGGTGGTATCACCTGACCGTGTGGAGCGTGACTGGCCTCATCTTGCTCACGCTCAACGTGCTCGGTGCGACGGAGGAAGGCATGTCCTCCTACTGCTGGTTCGACGACATTGACAAGGAGGCGCCCAGCGAGCTATCCCTGTTCATGCGGCAGTTTCCACTCTCCCACAGCATTGCCCTGCTTGCCTCCATCATCATCCTCGTCCTCATTGTTGGTGCCGTGGGCAGCTTGGACACCAACGCATCCCTCGGCCTCTGCGCTCGCCGTTCCATTCTCGTTCGCGGCGTTGCATACGCCATCATCTTTGGCACCCTCGCCACCTGCAAGCTCGCCATTGGCGTTGTGCTGCTTCTCCACCCGCCCTCGCAGGCATCTGTGCGCGTGGTGATGCGCTACGCCGATGCGGACGCCTCATATCTGGCCGTGATCGGGGTGGCCAACGTGCTGGCCGCTGTATTAACCGTGCGCTGGGCTCGCCACTTGCACAACCGCGCAATCAAGATGCTCACTGTCACAGACAAGGTGCCCCTGCTGGCAGAGCGTGAGAGCAGCAGCAACAGCAGCAGTAGCAGCAGCAATGACAATACGGACCACGACGACAACGACAACGACGACGACGATAATGACGACGACGACGAAGGGCGAAGCGCGTCGGGCAGCAAGGAGGACCTGCTGCCTCATCTTGGGCGGATGGATGGATCATTACACAACAGCATGGTCGCCTTGGCTGCACCATTGGCGGGCAGCGCAATCACAGGCGATGACGCCCACCTCCTTCGACTCATCGGTACATGTGTGTGTGTGTGTATGTGTGTGTGTGTTTGTGTTGAAAATTTGCCTTGCGTGTTACACCCAGTTGTGCTCATCTGCGCTGCTCTTGTGACTTGAACCCTCACATTGTCACTCCACCTCCCCCGTACCTCCTCCTCCCCGCACGTGTGTTCAATCTTCCTGCGACCCCCCCCCCCCCGCTGCCAGGTTCACCCCCACCGTCGCTCCATGCACACGGTGACCTCCCTTCCTTCTTTGCGGCGGCGAGTGGCCCAGCGTCAACACAAAGCACGCCTGGCGGTGTTTGCACGCCGCATGCTGTACAGCGTCAAGGAAGCCACGGTGCTGTCAGGCGTGGCTCAAGCCCGCTGCATCCCGCCTGTCCTGATGCTGAGCATGGCGGTGATGGCGAAGGAGGAGACGGCAGCACGATGTCGTGGGGCGCACGCACTGGTAATGAGCAACGCAGTGGTATCCACAGCAGCAGCGGCAAAGGCAACAACAGCGGTCAGCGCAGCGGCCACAGCAGACGTGACGGCAGGGATGTCAGTGGCCGACGCAGCGCACAGTCAGCGCGCCTTCACCGGCAAGGCAGCCCCGTCTGGCTGTCACAGGGGCGCGCGCGCTCAGATACGATCGGGACAACGGCTTCGCTTGTGAGCCTTGAAAGTGACACGGCACTGGTGGGCCGGCAGAGCCATCTTCGCGCGCAGCAGCTGAGCAGCGAGACGTGCCGCGCTGTTGGTCGCAGAGTTGAGTTGATGGACGACGACGACACGCACGCGGCAGCCATGCGGGCGATGCGAGATGATGTGATGCTGTGCACGCTCTTTGGCATCGTCTCCACACTCAACAGCACGCGCACCAACCCGCCACCGCAGCTGCGGCAAACAGTGACGCTGCCGCCCGTGTTCAACCGCGAGATTGAGTTTATCGATTACCACCAGGACATTTTCGCCCGTCTCCGCTCCCTCTTCGGCATCAGCGCCAGAGGTGCGTGAATATGTGTGTGTGTGTGTGAAAGTGGGCACATGTGTACTGGTGTGAAACAGATGTGTGGTGTGGTGAAAACATGCGTGTGCGACTGTGTATTTGCGTGCACTGCAATGCACGTTGGTACTTGTGTGCGTATGGAAACGTTGAATTGTAACACTTCTTGTTTTCAGTTGCAGAGGCGGTCGTCTCCTGACATGCAAACTCACACACACACACACACACACACGAAACACACACACACACACACACACACACACACACACACACACACACACACACACACACACACACACACACACTCAGAGTACGCTGCGTCGATTTGGGGCGACCAGATGCGGCAGGAGATACAGAAGATGACCGAGGGCTTTTCCTCCGGACGCAGTGGCTCCTTCCTCTATCTCACACACGACAAGCAGTATGTTGTCAAGACAATCGACAAGAAAGAGTGCGCGTTGCTGCGTGAGCTTCTCCCCGCGTACCTGACGCACATGCGCAACAACCCGACGTCACTCCTTGTTCGCTTCTGCGGCCTCCACGCTGTCCGGCTGACGAAGGAACAGCGCTACATCACGTTTGTTGTTCAGCAGCACATTGTCAACACCGCGCGCTACTCCGCACGTGTCCACCGCATGTACGACCTCAAAGGGTCACAGTACAATCGCAGTGCTGTGAACCCACCGCAGGGCTGCGGCGCCGCTCTCCTCAATTCAAAACGCGAGCACAAGCGAGGCCAACATTCGCCACGTCATGAGCAGCACGAACACCGACACAGCGGAAAGCGCGGTGTCAGTCGGGCGAGCGCTGGCACGCGGCACTTCAAGGACCTTGATCTGATGTCACACGGGGTGATTGCGGTTGGGCGGAAGGCACGGAGCTCGCTGTCCACGCGGTTGGCGGCGGACGTTGCGTTCCTGCACGAGCAAGGCATCATCGACTTCTCCCTGCTTGTCGGCGTGCACTTTCGGCGACCAACAACCGTGATGCCGCCACCGCTTGAGAGCAGCAGCAGCAGCGGTGGCGGTGGCTCGCGGCGTACACGACGCAGGGTGAAGGGAAAGGGCAAGGGCCCGGCGACCATCCTTGACGGCGTGTCTGCCGTGTTCATGCAGCGCGAGTGCATTGTCTACTTTGGGATTATTGACATTTTGCAGAGGTACGACCGGAAGAAGAGGTTGGAGCACTTTGCCAAGACCAAACTCATGGGGGTTGACCCCACCACCCTCTCCTGTGTTGACGTGGACTTGTACTGTGAGAGGTTTTACTCTCGCGTCTTGCAGCACTTTGTCTGATCCATGCAAGTAAGTGAGTGAGTGAGTGAGTGAGTGAGTGAGTGAGTGAGTGAGTGAGTGAGTGAGTGAGTGAGTGAGTGAGTGAGTGAGTGAGTGAATGAATGAGTGAGTGAGTGAGTGAATGAATGAGTGAGTGTGAATGAGTGAGTGTGTGCGTTTGGGGCAGATTGTGTGAGTCGTAACTGCATTATTTTGACCATGTTCCTCGCCGTGAACGCAACGACGCACATCGGTTCGTGTCTTGGCTAGTACGCAAGCTCCGTTGCGTTTGCAGGTTCGGATAGGCCACTGTCTCTCTCTTCTTTCTGTGCGTGTGTGTGCTTCTTTTTCTTTGTACCTTGTGTGTCTTCCTTTCTTTCTTGTCGTGTTATGACCATGTTCTTGGCAATGTCGGTTACGATGACGAGTATGACGCAAGTGCTTGCATGGTGTGCAAGTCACAGTGTTCGGTTACAGGCAATTAGTTATGCAGACAGGGTTGCCGATCAGGTGGCGTCGGTTTGAATCCAACGACATACGATAAAGTCATGAAGGCGAGCGACAAGAAGCACGCAAAGAGCGAATGACAACACCAGAGGTGTGTGGCTGGGCGAATTGCCACCGCGTACAATGCTCTATCGGAAAGTCGACACCAAGGCAGCAGCATTATTGGCACTGCAAGCAGTGGGGATCACCCGGGGCGCACACATGCACAAACGAAGCCTCAATGCCGCTGGGCTGATACGTCCAATCACCACCACCACCACCACCAGCAGCATGTCCCTTTGGCAGCGCTGGCCGCGGTTGGAAGAGCGGCCGTGATTGGCGCTGCGGGAAGTGGACGGTGCGCACAGGAAGATACGACGCTGAAATCACTCCATATCGGTTCACTTCCACCCTGCATTTGGCGGCGGTGAAGGCGGGAAGAGCGGGAGAGGTGGAATGTTATGTGGATGTGGATTGTGGGTTGTGCGGGTGCTTGAGCGTCAGCGACAGACAAACAGACAAACACACACACACACACACACACACACAGACACACACACACACACATAGACACACACACACTTACTGACCGGTATATGCGCGAGTGCATCACGTCTGTCAGTGTCAGTGGGCGCAGTGGCGGCGGCAGTGACATACACGCAGGGGACGCCGTGAAATTGATGGCATACGTGTGCGGATCCCGGCACACGTGGCTGTCAAACACAAAGTTGCCCAGCCCGTACAGCACAGCGCTGTTGCTTCCAATGGCATGGTCCTGTTGCGGGTGTTTTGTGTTGCGGAAGGGGGTGGGGCGAGCGGGAAGAGGAGCAGCATGAGGTGTGGAGGATATATTCGCACACAGACACACAGACACATACAGACAGACACAGACAGACACGGACACACGCATGCACACGCGTGCACACGGGCACACCTGAAGCACGTGTTGGTGGTGGCCGACGATGATGTGTGCGCCAGCCTTGGTCATCTCCTCTGCTTGATGCCGCTGCAGTTGCGACACGCGCGTGTAATACTCACGGCCCCAGTGCACAACCACAACGACCACATCCACCTGCAATACACATGTACATTGTGTAAATGGAGATTCGTTGATGTGTGAGAATGGGACAGGATGCGAGTCCTGCCAGCACCAGCACGCTGCCGTTATCATCATCATCATCATCATCATCATCATCATCATCATCATCATCATCATCACCATCATCATCATCATCGTCACCACCACCACCACAATTGCAATCATTACACTGTTAACCTGGGTTCGCGCTTGCTCAATTGCATCGAGGACATCAGAAAGCGACGTCAGCTGTGTGGATTGAAGCCACGGGATGTGGCGGTGAGTACCAGCCGAAGCGTGGACGAACAAAGCAAGGAGCGAGTCTCTCACACGCAGCGTATGCACGCACACACATACAGAAACGTACAAGCCTTGGTCCAACGTTTGCATGGGAGCGAGCAGCACGACAGGCTTTGACTTGGCAAAACTGATCAATGCATGGGGTGGTGGAAGGTGGTGAGTGCTGGGCGAGTAGTTTTGCAATGCACAGGCGCACACAGAAAAAAATCAGCACACACATACACACGTACATACACACACGCACACAACGAACACATACACACACACACACAACACACAACACACACACACACACACACACACACACACACACACACACACACACACACACACACACACACACACACACACACACACAAGACTGACCGCGAGGAATCCAAGCTTGACGCCTTTGATGGTCTGAACGGCAAGACCTTTGCGGGGATCCGTGCTGCCAATATGAGACGCACCCGCGGTGGCGCCAACAACGCCAATCGACAGCTCATCAAGAGCAGCAAGCGTCTCCCTGTGGCGACAGACACGTTGTCGTCACCAACATGTCAGCCCTACCCCCAATACGACTGGGACAGACTATGCGGCACCCACGATTTCTTGTTACAAAACCACGCACACCCGCACACGCACACTTGCACACACTCACACACCTATACACACACACACACACACACACACACACACACTCACTCACACACACACACACACACATGCACGTACCGAAAGGAGGCTTCGCCAAAGTCGAGCACGTGGTTGTTGGCCAATGACACGGTGGTGATGCCTGCAGTCTTCAAGCATCGCAAGTGCTGCGCATAGACAGGCAGGGTGTGAAGGTGCGAAGCGTGAGACGCGCATGCAAGCAACAGTGTGGATTGAGACAATAGAGGCATACAGTGCCACGACACCTTGTGTGGAGATTGTGGAAGCAAGAGTGGCAGAGAGTTGGATAACACCATCAGGCAGGCTTACCTGAAGTTGAGCTCCAAGGGAGATGCGCTTGCGCTGCTGCGGGTCGGAGGACGTGGTGGCGTTTGCCACACCTGGACTTTCCAGGTTGGCGAGCACGACGTCACTGGCTTGGAACAGCGGGTGCACATGCCGAAACACGGAGGCGCAGCCATCGGCACCATCCTCTGCAGCTGCAGCCTCATCCAACTGCCTGCCAATATCGCGCGCAAAGGACACGTCGCCCACAAAGGTGAGCGTCACGGCATGTCCGGCGCCCTTGCCTTTTCGTGCGTCCTGGACCTGCCTTGCTTCATGATCGTGGTTGGCAACACAGCAGCAGCAGCAGTATGGCCACGCAACGTGAGTGCGAGATGATGAGGTTGTCACACACGTGCACATACACGTGTGCGTACACTCACACGTGCGTGTGTATGACATGTGTGTGTGTGTGTGTACATTCACACGTGCATGTATATGACATGTGTGTGTGCGTACACTCACACGTGCATGTATTTACATGTGTGTCCACCCAATCACACGGTAGGTGCCACACTATGCCCATCAACGCCACAAAGGAGTGAGCGGACCTGGCCAGCTTGCATGTCGATACAGCACGCTGTGGTGACAGCAGTGATGGCAGCTGCTCCATCATCAAAGCAGTGACATCATCATTAGCAGCATCGTCACCATCAACACTGCGCTTGTTACGGCGGCCGCTTTCCTTGCGTCCTGCATCGCCAGCACCACAACAAAACAACAATGCGATGTGTCAAAGCTGTGCATAACAGCAGCAGTGAACACGGGGTCGACCTGACACGTGATGTGATGTGACACACACAAACACACACAAACACACAAACACACACGCACACACACACACAAACCACAAACGCACATACACAAACACAAACACGCACACTGCTGACCAAGGTGCACAGTTACGACGAGCGCCAGGACAGCCAGCGCCCACAACAGCGCCACTCGCGCTCGAAACCGCATAATCCAAACAAGAAGATCATGAATATCTTCTAACAATTTCCCACAATCACTGCCCAACAACAGTCAGCAAGACTGCTGAGCACCGCACCATTTCCACCAGCGCAACGTTGCCGCAACAAGAGGAGACACACAGGGCTCAAGATACGTCGACAATCAATCAATCCAGCCAGCGATCTTCCACCAGAACATCATTTCCACCAAGACAACAAACAAGAAACAAGTACCGCAGGGCGTAGGAACGTCAGCACTTTCAACCAACGCTTTTGTGTCACACCACCACGCTACAAACAACAAGATGGGAAAGCGCGGACAAGAAAAGGGTGAGGATACACCCAAGCAGCTGCGCAAGGATCTGATGCGCCAGTATCAGCAAGCCAAAAGCGCACCCAAGCACCCTCACCCTCGTGGACCGAGGCATAAATCCACAGAGTAAGTGAGCACATGTACTAGTTTATGTGTGCGTGTGTGCGCATGTGTGTGTGTGCATCTACGCGCGTCCGTCCATGTGTACGCATCAGTGTTTTTGTCTCGTTGTTGTTGTTGTTGTTGTTGTTGTTGTTGTTGTTGTTGTTGTTGTTGTTGTTGTTGTTGTTGTTGTTGTTGTTGTTGTTGTTGTTGTTGTTGTTGTTGTTGTTGTTGTTGTTGTTGTTGTTGTTGTTGTTGTTGTTGTTGTTGTTGTTGTTGTTGTTGTTGTTGTTGTTGCAATGTGTGTCACGGCTGATCGCTGTTGTTGTTGTAATCCGTAGCTGGCACCACTCTCACAATGCGTTCGTTTCCCTTTCTTTGGCCTGCGAACAGTTGGCGGGCTGATCGACACGATGAGGATGAAGACCAACAACAGCAGCAGCAGCAACAGCAGCAAGGGCATGGCCATCGCGGGCCCCACGGCCAGCATGGACGACAGCAAACGTACGCGCCGCAGCCCGTGCCACCGGGAAGCAGCCATCACAAGCACCACGAAGGTGGACACCACGCAGCCAAGTCCTCGCCGCGCCGCCCGCGCCACGAGGGCAAGCCACAAGGCAAGCACGGCAAGGCGTCGCCTCGAACCCCGCGCAGCCAGCGCTCTGCAGGACATGCGCAGCGGTCGGATGCACCGCGCTGGCGCAGCGAGCGGGACGGTGGCGACGACACCAAGGGCTCGCCGCGGACACCGCGTAGCCGGGGCAACCGCAGCAACCGCGGCCATGGCGGAAACAACGGCAGCACCAGCCGCCCAAACTCCTCCAGGAGCAACCGCTCCACGCCTTCGCGCGGCCGAAACATCTTCGAGCCATACGTACGGGTGAATGCGTGTTGGCACGTGTGCCGTGTGAGGGTGTAAAGTGTTTCACTCTGTTGGATCGCGTCGTGTGTTGCAATGTTGGTGTTTGGTGTTCTGTACCGCGCGCGTTGTCTTTCGTTCCGAGATGCTGTATTGCGTGCGCTGTCTTGGGTTTGTTGTTTATGGTCGCGTTGAGCAGTATCTCACTGTCACTGAACTCGATGCCTTGCCCTTGCAACCCCAAATCACTCTCTCCAACCATTCCCACTGTCACGTCGCTGACTCGTCTGCGGCCTGCAGCTCTCCCCGGCCGAAGTGGAGAAGCGCGCTGCCCGCGGTGAGCTGGTGATTGGCCGCCTCCGCGTGAACCCGAAGAACTACGAGGACTGCTACGTCAAGCACAGCGCGCACTACAAGCGGGACATCAGCGTGCCCACAATGACGGCACGCAACAGGGCGCTGGATGGCGACGAGGTGGCCGTGGAACTGCTGCCCCGCTACTGCTGGCGCGTGATGGAGACAGAGGCTGAGCGCGCCGGTGTGCCCGTGCCGTCCAACCATCGCGAGACGCTGTCAGAGGCACTCGACGCAACACGCATTGGCTCGCCAAAGAAGCTCAAGGCCATCGTCAGCCGATCAGGTGCGCTGTCACACGCCGACGATTCTCGTCGTCACTCATGTCTCCACCCCCTTCTCCTACCCAACATTGACCTTGAGCAACGCCTGCTCACACAATACCTTTCCGTGCTGCGCGCGCGCGCGTGTGTGTGTGTGGCTGTGTGTATGTGCATGTGTGTGTGTGTATTTGTGTAGACCTGACACGGCCGACTTTGAATTTGGCGGCAGCGGAGCGGACTGTGAAGGCCGGCATTCCGCGGCGGCAGCAGCTGTCGCCCCTGCGAGCAACGCGCCGTGCTGCTGCTGATGATGATGATGTTGATGGGGTTACGCAGCAGATGAGCGAATTGAAGGCGTCAGAACAGCGGAACGGCCGCGCAAACTGGACCGACTATGACGACGACGACGAAGAGGTGGAGGCCGTGGTGGAAGAGAAAGAACAAGGCTCCAATGACGATGATGAGGATGAGGAGGAGGAGGTGAAGGATTTGGATGACATTGACACGGATGCTGTTGAGAAGAAAGGACACGAAGAGGACTTGAGTGGTCCGTTTATGGGTCCAATCGAGCACAGGAACGACAACATCCCAGACGAGTTTCTCCTTCCCATCGGCCGGGTAAGAACTCACCAGGCAATGTGCTGTGCTGTGGCGGAGTGATGTTTGTGGTGCAATGGTGTGGCGTGCGATGTGTGGCGTGCGACGCACTGTGCATGTGGGTGTTGTGACCAGTCAAAATGCCGTGCGCTCATTGCCACTACAACTTATCATGTCGTCGTCACGGCATGTCGCCGGCATGTTTGGTCGCTGACAGGTTGTGCGCATTATCAAGCGCGATGAGAACAGCCGCTTCGTGGGCGCCCTCGAGCCTTTCACCTCAGGTGTGCATGCATGCATGCGTGTGTATTTGTGTGTGTGTGTGTGTAAGTGTGTGTAAGTGTGTGTGTGCGAGTACCTGTGCATGTGTGTGCATATGGCGTTGTTGTTGTTGTTGTTGTTGTTTCAATCACCATCCTGTTCCAACTTTTGCCGTGACCATTTCTGCCATCCAATCGCCGCCCCCCAAACACACTCTGCCAGACAAGTACGTGCGCTTCAATCCGCGCGATCCGCGCGTGCCACGTCTGCTCATTCCCAAGGACAAGGCCCCACAGGACTTCTACCAGAACACAAAGGTGCCATCAGCAGCATAGCACCAGCGCTCGAGCTCGGACTTGAACTTGAAATGCCACCCAAGCTGCTGCTCGAATGATATCGTTTGTACGCATGCATGTATACATGCACACGTTCTCCAGCCCACACCCACGCAAACACACGCACATATACACACATATATGACCCCCCTCCCCTCCCAAATTGGTGCAGGCGTATGCGGGCAAGTGTTACACGGCTCGCCTCGTGCACTGGTCGGAGCACTCGCCGCTTGCCATTGGCGAGCTGGTGGATGTGCTTGGCAACGCGGGCGCAATCACGGTGGAGACAGAGTCCATTCTGCAAGAGAACGGCGTGCCGCCAGCAGAGTTTACAGAGGACGTGCTTGCCTGTCTGCCGGACGTGAAGGAAGGTGACGACTGGCGCATTCCACAGGAAGAGGTGAGAGCCACCGTGCCATGGCGTAGCGTGTTGTGATTGGGTGGAGTGCCGCTGTTGGGTTGCACTGTCGAAGAGAGTGCGATGATACAGACTTGTCTTCACGGCACGACTCATGATTACATGATTGCTTGTGTCTGTGTGTGCGTCTGTCTGTCTGTCTGTCTGTCTCTCTCCCTGCGTGCGTGTGTGTCGTGTTGTGTCACAGCTTGCGCGCCGGCGGGATCTTCGCCACGAACGAATCTTTTCTGTCGATCCCCTGACAGCCAGGTGTGCACGTCTACCCTCATGACGACGAGCTATGTTCCTGTTGTCACCCAGATGGCTCGCCCTACCTCGTCTGCTCTTGTGCTACCCAATGAAGACATCACTCACACGAATCACATCACATCCCACCCCGTGTCACCACATGCTCTGCCATCCCATTGCACATGACGTGGCACACTGGCCGCGTGTCACCGTACCATCAGGGATCTTGATGATGCGCTCTCGTGCAAGAAGTTGGACGACGGGTCGTTTGAGGTTGGCGTGCACATCGCAGACGTCAGGTTCGCTTTCACGCGTTTGTCTTGAGTGTCCGTTTTTTTTTTTTTTTGAGTTGCTTTCGCTGGAGTGTTGAGGGGAGTTGTTTGTTGACGTGTATGCGTCTTGGACAACGTGCTCCCTTGGCTTTGCACGTGTGTGTACGATAATATGCTTGTCCCGAAGGCTCACAAAGCTTCATCAAACACACACACACACATATGTGCGCGTACCGGTATGGTACTTCAGCTTCTTCATTGAGCGGGGCAGTGCCCTCGACAAGGAAGCGAAGCGGCGTGCGACGAGCACGTACATGGTGCACGGCGTGTACCCGATGTTGCCGCGTCTTCTCTGCGAAAACCTGTGCAGTCTCGTGGCCGACGTGGACCGCCTCGCGTACAGCGTCATCTGGCGCCTCGATGCCGACGGTAACAAGCTCGACCAGTGGATGGGGCGCACGGTGATTCGCTCGTGCGGGAAGCTTGCATACGAGCACGCGCAGGCGGTGATTGAGGATGAGAGCGTGCAGTGGACTGGTGAGGATTTCCCGCCCATCAGCGCCCCACACACCATCGACAGCGTTAAGCGCGACATTGTGCATCTCGACAGGTCTGTTGTTTGTGTGTGTGTGCGTGTGCGTGCGTGCGTGCGTGTGTGCGTGTGTGTGTGTGTGCGCGTGCGTGTGTGTGTGTGTGCGTGCGTGCGTGTGTGCTTGTTACATTTTTCTGTCTGCTGTCACGCCTACTGTTCTACTATTGCGTTTTGAGCCATGCATTGCACTTTGTTCCAACCACCGTCATAACAACAGCAACAACAACGACCACCACCGCCACTCCTCACGCTTCCTTCTCCCTCGCCCCCCCCCCACCTCTATCCCGCTGCTGCGTGTGCACACATCAGGCTGGCGAAGGCGATGCGGCGGCGGCGCTTTGCTGGCGGCGCTCTCTCGCTGAACAAGGGCAAGGTCGGCATCAGGGTCGATCCAGACACGCAGGAGCCCGTCGAAGTGTACCCGTGAGTTGGAAGTGCAAGTTGTGTGATGTGAGGAGCTGCTGGTGGTGGACGTAAAAATAAACTTGCTGGCGTGTTTGGTTTGAGGGCCTGAGGGGTTGAGGGCTTGAGCGCTTGCTGCTGTGGTGGCCAATCGCATTGTTTCTCCTCGCCTCATTCCTGACACATGACATTTGATGTTTGCACATTGCTTGCTCCACGCAACACAACACACAGGTATGAGATTCGCGATGCGAACCGCATGATTGAGGACTTTATGCTGCTGGCAAACATGTCTGTTGCTCAAGTCATTTCAGACACATATCCGCAGTGCGCCCTTCTACGCCGGCACCCACCGCCCCTGCAGGCCAGGCTGCACACGGTTCGTGTTGTGTTGTGTTGTGTTGTGTTGTGTTGTGTTGTGTTGTGTTGTGTTGTGTTGTGCTGTCGTGTGGTGTGTGTGTGTGTGTGTGTGTGTGTGTGTGTGTGTGTGTGTGTGTGTGTGTGTGTGCGCGCGCGCGCGCAATGTAATGTTGAGTGCACTGTTGTGGTTGCGGCAGTTTTGTTGACATCACCAACTCCGTCTTTTCTGTCGTTCCCTTCCGCCAACGACGGCAACAGGTCAAGGAGGAGCTGCAGCGGTACAACATCGATCTCGGGAATGTGGACGATGAACTCAGGAGCGCCGCCAACATTCACGCCGCCATCCAGAAGTTTGCACAGCGCGCACCAACCATCGACGTGCGTACTGCTCGCATTGGCCTGTGTTCGTTGATACTTGCACGTGACTCACACTCAAACACTCTCTGCCCAGTGTTCCAAGCCCACCACCTCCAACACGCCTTGACAGACAGTGTTGCTTGCATCTCACTTGACCACCCACCTACCCAACCAACCCAATCACCAACCATGCACGCAACCGTCTCTGCTGCAGGTGCACGCGCTGGCGGCGATGCTGGCGCGGGCAATGCAGCTGGCAGAGTACTTCAGCACAGGCAGCGAGGAGCTGACGCGGCAGGAGTGGCGTCATTACGCCCTCAACGCGCCCGTGTACACCCACTTCACATCGCCCATCCGCCGCTATGCGGACGTGATTGTGCACCGACTGCTGACGTCGGCGCTCAACGGCGATATCGACCCCCACTACGGTCATCCACAGGTGGACGACATTGCGGACACGTGCAACGTCCGCAAGCTCGGTGCGTTGCTGGTTGTGAGACGGGGGAACGGGTGGTGGCGGTATTGTGAATGGTGATGATTGAAGTGGCGTGTCGTTGGTATTATCTGCTGCTGCTGCTGCTGCCGCTGTTGCTGTGTTGTGTGGTTTGTGCTGTATTGCAATGGCTTCGCAGTCCCATTGTGTGTTTGTCCTTCCTCTCACCCCCTTTGCTTACCACGTTGCGCATCCACTTTTGCGTGTGTTTGATTGTGACAGCTGCGAAGCGTGCACAGGAGTCGAGCGTCTCGCTGTACACGTCTGCCTATCTGGCAGCACACGGCCCCGTCGTTGCGCAGGCGGTGGTGATTGAGGTCATGTCATACTCTGTCAAGTTGCATGTGCCAAAATACGGCATTGAGCACCAGGCGAACCTCAAGCTGCTTGATCTTCCCCTCAAGTACGATGAGCGCGCTGGCAAACTCACGGTCACCTGGAACGACACCACCAAGCAGGTGCGGCCTCGCTCTGTGTGTGTGTGTGTGTGCGTGTGCGTGCGTGTGTGTGTGTTTGTGTATGTCGAGGAATATGCGAGCCGGGGTGGTGTTGATAAAGCAGGTGTGATTGTGATTGGGGGATTGCAAATTGGCGTCTTCACGCTCATCTTGCCCGCTTGACTCACACTTCTCCGTTTGGTGTTGGGTTGGCAGGAGTTGATGCTGTTTTCGCACGTGAATGTGCAGTTGACATCGCATTTCAAGAAGCAAAAGTACTTTGACAACGTGCGCATCCTGCCACCACCCAAGTGATGGCCTCTTGTTTCTGATACTGCGCAGGCTGGGCAGCCTGTGCTCGTCGACAGTTGTTTTGTTGTTTCTTTTGGTTGTTCGGCTTTGATATTGTGTGTGTGTTGCATGTGAGAGAGAGAGTGTGTGTGTGTATGTGAGATAGTGAGAGACAGAGAGCGTGTATATGTGTGTGTGTGTGCGTGCGAGCGTGTTGGCCCCTTTGTTTGCCTGTGGTGCGTTTTTGCGGTGTTGGTGGTCTGGCATGTGTGCCTGATTCACAGTTACATGACCACGCACTGTCGTTTCTTTACTGAGTGCTGGGGTTAACACTGTTTGGAAGAGCAATACAATCACAGGCAAGCAAGCAACAACAAGGCAACGCATTGCAATTCATCAACGGAAGACACCACACACACACACACCACACACACATACACACACGCTTTCAATCTACTTCTTGGTTGGGTCTGCCACCACCAACACGCGTGAACATCACGCCTTTGAGTCCTCCTGTGACGATTCCCGTGCAATTTCTCTCCTCATCTCCTGCAATGCACAAGCGAAAACAGTATAATGTATGCGAGTATGTGTGAGTGAGTGAGCGTGTGAGTGAGTGAGTGAGTGAGTGAGTGAGTGAGTGAGTGAGTGAGTGTCAACACAATTCTTGGCAACGACATGACTCGCCTCTTCGTACCCTCCACCACCACTACCATCGCCACCAACACAAACGAGCACCAGAAACCAGCGACGTACAGCGCGTTTGACGATGGCGTAACCGAGCGATCCGCCGAGGACAAAGAGGTTTCCGAGCCACCACATGGCGCTGCGCACCTCGCCGTTGATCTGCAGCGCAAGGATCGTCTGCGCACACGCCTGTTGTTGTGGTTGTTGTTGTTGTTGTTGTTGTTGTTGTTGTTGTTGTTGTTGTTGTTGTTGTTGTTGATTAAAGTGAGGCGCTGCTACAAGTGGCCAGGGAGCATGAGTAGCCATTTACGAGGGACATCATGTCGTGTTCACACGCAAACACCTTTGCTGTTCCGCTGATGTTGTGGGTGACGGGGCTGGTCACGCTGACTTGCAGCATGGTCACGAGCCCAATTGCAATGCCTGCGGGCACCCATACAAACGCAGATCAAGGCACCAAGTACATCATCAGCAAGCCTGCAGGTACATCCATGCGCGAATGCACATAGACAAACAGACAGACAGACAGACAGACAGACAGACAGGTAGACAGACAGGTACATGCACGAATGCACAACCACACACACACACACACACAACCACACACACACACACACACACACACACACACACACACACACACAGATGCATCCGCTTCGTGCTCACCAAAGAAGCCGGCAATGGACATGAGGACCCAATATGACGGGCGGAAGATGTCTGGGGAGGCGACAATTTGGGGCACCTCCTGGAAGAGGAGAATGACGGGGAGGAAGAGCAGCGTGGCGTTGGCGTTGTTGTACGCCATCAGCAGCCACGAGTCCCCGTTCACAACCGGAAGCACCTGCAACCGTGTGTGTGTGTGTGTGTGTGTGTGTGTGTGTGTGTGTGTGTGTGTGTGTGTGTGTGTGTGTGTGTGTGTGTGTGTGTGTGTGTGTGTGTGAGTGCGTGTTTGTGTGTGAATGGGTGAGTGAGTCAGTGAGTGAGTGCGTGTTTGTGTGTTTCAATTCAACACGTGCAGACCAGTTCGATAAGTAGGGGTTGTGCACCTTCTTGATGTAGATGGCGTTGAGAGCAACACAGAGACTGGCCATGATGCCGTAAAACACGCCTGCAAAGGTGAAAATTCAGCAGTGGAAAACCAATAGTGAGAGTTGTGTTGTTGACACGAACCGCGCCGCAGTGGCACCGTAAACGCGGGGCGTACGTGTGTGTGCGTGTGTGTGTGTGTGTGTGTGTGTGTGTGTGTGTGTGTGTGTGTGTGTGTGTGTGTGTGTGTGTGTGTGTGTGTTCATGGCACAGTTGTTCTGCGTGGACCATCCATGACACCATCTCACCAATCATGGAGAGTTCGCCCTCATCTCCCTCCTGATCAACACCGAGAAAGAAGCCCATCACGATGATGGCGCACATGCCCAGCGCGCGCACAGACGTGGACTGGTGCAGCATCACGTACGACAGCACCTGGGACGCAGGCATCATCGCAGGCATCATCGCAGGTGAACGAGCAGCGCCACGTGAATCGTCAAGTATTGGCAGATGGGCACGGAAAAGCGTTGTTGCGACACCACAGTGCTCAGCGTTCGCTCAAACACGTAGACACACAAGCGCGCGCACTCACGCACACACACACACACGCGCGCGCGCGCTTACGATGTTGAAGAGTGTGGTGAGGGAGCGTCCGACGTTGTAAAAGGGCACGCCGACCTCCTTGAGACAGAGGTTGTTGAAAGCGATCATGCCCACAAACACGGCACTCAAGGGAAGGATCTGCACCGTCACATGCATGCACGTGTTGTTCATCACATGGCATCAGCTGCATGGGGAGAGTACGTGGCAGCTGCAATGAACATGACACATGCACATACATACGCACATGGGCGCACCGCACCGTGTGCACATATAAGCACACACACACACACACACAGACATGATGCACACAACACACGCACACGCACACACGTACACACACAGGCATGCACACAACACACGCACACACAAACACTCAGGCATGCACACACGCGCGCACACACCTCCTTGGCCTTGGCGATATCGTACTCAAAGGTTGGGAACATGTTCATGAAGCTGGCAGCATCACGGAACATGCCGAGGAAGTAGCTGGCCACGACGGCGACGACGCATTGGAACCACGTCACGAACATTGGGGCTTTCAGCTGTAAACAAGACGAAGAGATCGAATAAAGCACAGAAGGCGTGAGCAAACGTGCGTCTGCGTACACATGCAAGCAAGCAAAGGCAAGCAAGGCGCAATGGAAACGGCTCCAAGAATGAGCAAAGAAGGCCGATCCAAGAGCGCAGATATCAGTAAGTCGTAGCCATCAGATGGCTGTGCCCACTTACGTCCACATCACTGAGCAAGTGCTTGTTGAGGAACACCATGGAAATGGACACAAACCTGCACAAGAGATTGGCGGACAACAGTGAAACAGAAGACAGGAGGCAGAGATCAAAACCGACACACTCCATCAAGCACAGGCCAGATGCACACACACACACACACACACACACACACACACACACGCACACACACCCACACATTTGCACACACACCCCCTACACACACACACACGCACACCCGTACCAGTAGAGCGCCACCACGGAGACAATCTTCATGCTCCGTTGGAACAGGGCATCCTCGCCCCCCTTGCCTTTGTCGTCCATCATCATTTAGATCAACAGCCAGCCAGCCAGCGGTCTCAGCAGTTTGCCACAGCCCGGTGCACACTACAGTTTATGGTGTCGTGTTCAAAATTTTCAGATGAACTTCGCCGCGAGCAACCACCAACCCTCCTCCGCTGCCTCCTCCACATCAACATCAACACCAACACCAACACCAACGACGACGACGACCAACGCAACTGAGGAGGAGGCACGTCGCATGAAGGAGGCATTGGACGTGCAAGGCTCCCCGCCCCTCCAGCCGCTCGCCTCACAGTCGTACGTGTTCGTTTTGTTTTGCCACTTGCACACTCCACGAAACCGCCACCACTGCTGCTGCTGCTGCCGCCCTCTGCTGCCGCTGCAATCACCGTCAGCCAGCGATCACAAGGATGACACACCATGTCGCCACAGCCACACAAAAACCCAAACAAACCCAAATTGTTCCGTGTTGGTTTTGCTTGTCGTGGCTGGTTGGGGGAGGGGTGGGGTCGGTGTTGGTCTCTTCCCCCGTCCATTGGTGCCCTGACTCACCGTGACGCACTTGTTTGAACAAACCAATTCAACACCGCACCATGTGCGCGCGTGTGCATTGTGCGTAGCGTGGAGCTGCCAGCGAACAGTCCGACCATGGCGTCGCACATACCACCGGGCGTGTCGAGCAACAGCTCCGCCATGTCCATCGACGACATCCTCAACTCCCTGCCTTCCTTCTCTCGGCAGCAAGCACAGGCACCCAAGGATGCACACCCACCTTCATCAGGTCGTGATGCCATGTTGTTCATGCAGAGCTTTTGATGGCTGTTCACATCGCCACGCACCTGTGTGTGTGTGTGTGTGCATGTGTGGGTGTGTGGGTGTGCATGTACGTGTGTATGTGTGTGTGTGTGTGTGTGCTTGCGTGTGCTTGTGCGTGCATGAACTTGCGTGTGCGCGATTTCGAGGCGTCAAGGCTGTGGTCTCTGTCCACCGCATGCTCACGCAACTGCCATGATGGCGTGTCGGGTGCTGTCATGTGCCTTTTTTCCCGCTGTGTTCCACTTGTTTGCACACGCGTCATGCAGATACTGCACAGGCTTCCAGCTCCAGTGGCAGCTCCAGTGCCAAGGCTGGCAAGCAGTCAGCTGAGGGAAAGGGTGCGCATGTGCCACCACCCGGGTTTGTTGCGGTTGAGATCAAGGACATGATGACCACACAGAAGGCTGCCGTCTCCTTTGGCATGACCGAGTCCGAGTTCAAGACGATCAATCGCCTCAACACTCCACACGTCTTCCCAAAACAGGTGCGCACGCGGTGTGTGTGTGTGTGTGTGTGTGTGTGTGTGTGTGTGTGTGTGTGTGTGTGTGTGTGTACATGTGCATTCAGCGCTCACGCCGTCCATTCAGTGCTTTCTGTCGCTATCCAACGACGTGTGCACCAACTCTTTGTCCATTCCCCGCAACACCACACGCACACGCACACACATATACACCCAACACACGATAACTAACCCCACCTGTGCACATGGACACCGTGCAGATTGTGTTTGTGCGGGATGTCCAGTCCAAGGACGCTGCGCAGGCAACGCTGTTCCCGTTCAAGGGCGTCAAGTCACAGCCCCCGCCAGCATCGCCATCGTCATCCGCCAAGGCGTCTGCATCCACAGCAGCATCAGCGGCAGCCAAAGCGGCAGCAGCGAAGGTCACAGCAGCAGCAGCAGCAGCAGCACGAACCGACGCCACGCGCATGCGAACGCCACAGCGCCGCAGTATCCGGCAGCTGCTGCAGGGCTCCATCGGTGGCGGGCGATCACGTAGCAAGACCACCTCCACCGGCTCGCGCTCGGCAAAGCGAAGCATGCTCAGCCCATCTGCACGCCGACGTGCAAACAGCGCAAGCGCCCCAAAGCAACGTACGTAACGAGGTGGTGGTGGTGATGATGATGATTTTGTACGTGTGTGTGTGTGTGTGTGTGTGTGTGTGTGTGTGTGTGTGTGTGTGTGTGTGTGTGTGTGTCTGTGTGTCTGTGTGTCTGTGTGTCTGTGTGTGTCTGTGTGTGTGTGTGTGGACTCCTTGAAGTGCATTCGTCACCACACTTGTTTGTGCACTTGACGGCAGGCGATGATGGCTTGCGCAAGATGGGGGCGCTGTCGTACGCAATGGCGGCACCTGCCGGCGGCGTTGGCTTGAGGGCCGTCCCAAAGACATACCTCGCTGACAAGGCTTTCGACGAACAGGAATTGTGCGTCGTTGTCATTATCTTTTCGTGTTTGTGTTGGTGCTGGCGCTGTTGAGGTGATCGCTTTCGCTGGTGGGGACAGTGTGCGTTGAACGGGCGAAGTACCATGAAGGGAACATGCGAGCATGTGTCTGCGAGTTTGTGTGCGTATACGTGTGATTGTTTTGCCGTTTTATGGCTCGAGGTGACTCACATTACCATACTGCGCATATCCACGCATCGCAATGTGAACAGCATCAACGACAGCTTCATCCACATGCACG